GGAAGGAGGCCGCCCGAGGGCGCTGGCATCACGCCCCCGGGAAGGCGAGGGCAGGAAGAGGAGGTAGAGGAGGTGAGGAGCCAGAGGTAGGGCAGGAAAGGGCAGGGGGATAGGAGGAAGAAGAGGTAGAGGCAGGAAGGAGAAGATTAGAAGGAAGGAGGAAAGCTCCGCAATAAAGGAAGTACACTTTCCATGTGTGCACTGTCATGAAGTTGCTGTGTACGTCATTCGAGCACGCGCGCCGAGGCCGACCTCAGCAGCGAGCACTGGTCTGAGTGCAAAGGACGCCTCGAGCACGTGCTCCGGGAAGGCTGGCGCGCGGACCTATTCGGGAGGTGGCGGGGGCAGAGCCGCATCGACTCGTCTCTGTGCCGGTTCGAGCAGTACGACGAGCGGCGCTGCAAAGCCGCGAGGCTTCTGGCAGAGGGCAGCACGCACGCGGCCAGCGTGATGTCTGGAGCCTTCGTCTCGCCGGCGCACCTGCAGGCGGTGAAGGGCAGAGAGGAGAGAGGAGGAGGAGGAGGACGAGGACAACGACGTGGAGGGCGGGCGGCAGTGCAGGAGCATTGCCCCCGCTGTGGGAGGGACGAGGCGCCGGACTTCGAGCACGTGGTCTGGCGCTGCGAGGCGGAGATCAGGCCCGTAGGCCGGCCACAGGATGCGCTGCAGCGGCGCCTCCTCTGGCCGACTGGCCTGCAACGCAGGAAGGAGGTGGACGCCGGCCTGCTGTGGCGGGCCGTCGCCATACGCAAGGCGATCCTGGAGGAGCGCCGCGGCAGGAGGCCGGTCGAAAGCGCCGGCAGCGCGCCCCCGGGGAGCTGAGGGTAGGACGAGGAGGTAGAGGAGGTGAGGAGCCAGAGGGAGAGGTTGAGGGAGGGCGAAGGTATAGGAGGAAGAGGAGGTAGAGGCAGAGGAGAGAAGACTTGCAAGGAGGAGAGAGGGAGAGGAGGAAGAAAGGAAAGGAAGCATTTCCACATATGTGCACTGTTATGAAGTTGCAGTGTACATCATTCAAGCTTGTATATACCGAGGCCGACCTCAAGGCCGCCACCACCATCCGCGCCAACGAGAGCGCGGAGTTCGTGGCTGCAGAGACGGAGCCCGGGAGGGCGGCGGCGTGCCGCGGAGGAGGAGGAACCATGAGGGCGGAGGGGAGGGCTGGGGGGAGGAAGGGCGGGGGGGAGGGGGGGGGGGAGGGAGGGCAGGGGCAGGGCGCCCAGGGTGCGCAGCGCACGCAGACGGCCGAGATGCAAGAGAGTTGCGGGGGGCTTCTCGTACCTGTGAGTGTAGGAGTAGGAGTAAGAGTCGGAGTCGGAGTAGGAGTAGGAGTAGGAGTAGGAATCGGAGTAGGAGTTGTAGTCTTAGTAGGAGGAGAAGGAGGAAGAGAAGGACGAGGAGGAGGAAAGGGAACGATATGAATCGGGATGGGGAGGAGAAGGAGGAGGGCGAGGAGAGGAGGAGGAGAGGAGGGAGGAGAGGAGGAGGAGGAGGAGGAGGAGGAGGAGGAGGAGAGGAGGAGGAGGAGGAGGAGGAGGAGGAGGAAGGAGGAGGAGGAGGAGGAGAGGAGGGAGGAGGAGAGGATGAGGAGGAGGAGGAGGATGAGAGAGGAGGAGGAGGAAGAGGTGGATGGCGAGGAGGAGAGGAGGAGGAGAGGAGGAGGAGAGGAGGAGGAGAAATAGGAGAGGAGGAGGAGGAGGAGGAGGAGGAGGAGAGGAGGAGAGGAGGAGGAAGGAGGAGGAGGAGAGAGATGAAGAGTACATGGATGAGGAAAATGGGGAGTGGGAGTTTTGAGGAGGGAGGGGGCATGAGGAGCCAGAGGAAGAGTAGGAGAAGGAGGAGGAGGAGGAGGATGACGACGAGAATGGAATGTAGCGCGGAGGCGGATGCGGATGACGATGGTGATCAGGAGACGGATCCTCTGATGGAGGTAGGGGGTTTGGGAGGCAGATGGAGCAGCGGGAGGAGGAGGAGGAGGAGGAGGAGGAGGAGGAGGTGGAGGAAGGGATTGGTGAGGATGTGGAGGATGAGGAGGAGCAGGAGGAGGAGGAGGAGGAGGAGGAGGAGGAGGAAAAAGAAAAAGAAGAGGAGGACGAGCAGGAGGAGGAGGAGGAGGAGGAGGAGGAGGAGGAGGGACCGGGATGTCGAAGGAGGTAGGACGGGGGAGGAGGTGGATGGAGTGAACGAGGGAACCGAAGAGGATGAACGGGCAAGTAGGAGGGACAGATTGGGGGGATGGATGGTGGGGATGAGGGAGGGGATGGAAAGGGAGGCAGTCAGGAACAAGAAGAGGGATGGGGAGGGGGATGCGATGAAGAGTATCGGCGGCGAGAGACTGATGCTGCCATTCTGCGAGTGAGAGCGAGGAGGAGGAGATGAGCAGGAGGAGTGGGATGTTGTTGATGATGACGATGATGATGGTGATGATAATGTTGATGCTGATGCTGATTGATGATGCTGTTGCTGATGTTGATGATGCTGTTGCTGATGTTGATAATGCTACTATTATTAGGAATAAATGAACAATAATAAGCATAATAACGCGACTACCAATAATTATCATAACAATAAAACGAATATTATTATTACTACGAATACTACTACTATTACTACTACTACTACTACTACTACTACTAATACTACTACTACTACTACTACTACTTCTACTACTACTACTACTACTACTACTACTAATACTGCTACTGCTACTGCTGCTGCTGCTGCTGCTGCTACTACTACTACTACTACTACTACTACTACTACTACTACTACTACTACTACTACTACTACTACTACTACTACTACTACTACTACTACTACTACTACTACTACTACTACTACTACTACTACTACTACTACTACTACTACTACTACTACTACTACTACTACTACTACTACACATAATACTTAAGTCTTTAAAATTCCGAAGAATAGAAAACCATACAATTAACACTGATAGTAATATCAATACGAATGCGAATGAGACTAATATTACGTCTAATCATACTAACACTGATAATGCTAATTTTGATAATGATAGGATCATGAGAAGTGTGTATATATAACATTACACATGCGGTACTACGCCACAAGTATCAAGCGTTAACCAAGACGTGTATACATATATATATATATATATATATATATACACGTGTATACATACACAGATACATGCATGTATACTACCAGAGTCATATGTCATAATACACAGGCTATGACAACAATAATAACATCCGTAAGGGCTTCGCCCCATGCCGCCGGCCCCCTGTCTCAGATAATAGGAGATGCAAAAGCTACATCATGAGGTCTGTGCGCCGCCGTGAAGCAGTGTCGGGACCTCTTTGTTTTTCGACCCTGACCCCAAGGATCTGCGTCACGGGTGCTACCGAATTTCAGAAATGTGGCAAATCCCATGTGTTTTTGAACCCTGACCCTACGGATCTGCGTGAGGGGTGCCAGCAAATTTCAGAAATGTGGCACATCCCTTGTGTTTTTGGACCCTGACCCTGCCGATCTGCGTGAGGGGTGCCGCCGAATTTTAGAAATGTGGCAAATCCCCTGTGTTTTTGGACCCTGACCCTGCCGATCTGCGTGAGGGATGCCACCGAATTTCAGAAACGTGGCAAATCCTTTTTGTTTTTGGACCCTGACCCCGCCGATCTGCGTGAGGGGTGTCGCCGAATTTTAGAAATGTGGCGAATCCCTTGTGTTTTTGGACCCTGACCCTGCCGATCTGCGTGAGGGGATGCCACCGAATTTCAGAAATGTGGCAAATCCTTTCTGTTTTTTTGGACCCTGACCCTGCCGATTTGCGTGAGGGGTGTACGTTTTTTTTATTCATCCCAGCAATTCAGAGCACATGCTCAGGGCGTTGTAGAAATGCCAGTTTTGGGCCTCCGCGTCCATCAACAAGGAACAGTAAGCAGCAAGAAGTCAACAAGGAACAGTAAACAGCCAGAAGCAGAACTGTAACAGTGGAAAGTGGAAGCTGCAACTGGTACAGGAAACTGCGAAGCTTCGGCCTACAGCCTAGTGGCCCCACAAGGGGGGCGGCGGATAATTAACACGAACAAGTGTAATAACAATAGTCATACTACTGATGCCACTACTATTCATACTTATGATATCAATACTGACAATGCTATTGCTAATGGTCGTACTCATACGAACATTAATGCTATTACTATTACGATTAATAATACTACTAAAAAGAATAAGGGTACTACTAAGAGTAGTAATCGTACTAAGAAGAAGCCTAATATTAACACGAGTAATAACACTACTACTAAGCATCATAATGCTAGTAATACTAATGATAATACGAAGAAGAGGAGGATGATGAGGAGGAGGAGGAGGAGGAGGAGGAGGAGGAGGGAGGAGGAAGAGGAAGATGAAGAGGAGGATATTGAGGAGGAGGAGTCTGAGGAGGAGAGGCGAGGAGGAGGATGAAACCGACGCCCCCAAGGGGCACGAGCGCACTAGCGCCGCTTGGCCGCCACAGGAGCTGGTCGACGTCATCGATACCCTGGACAGGGCCATCAACATGCTGGAGCGGAAGCTGAGGGACCGCCGCACGGAGAGGCGGAGGAGGGCTGTGAGGAGAAGGAGGAGAAGGACAATGAGGAGGAGGATGAGGCGACGCAGGAGGATGAGGGTGGAGGAGGAGAATGAGGAGGATGAGGAGGAGGAAGATGAGGAGGAGGAGGATGAGGAGGCGGAGGAGGAGGAGGAGGAGGAGGAGGAGGAGGACGACGAGAATGGAATGTAGCGCGGAGGCGGATTCGGAGGACGATGGTGATCGGGAAACGGATCCAGTGATGGAGGCGGAGGGTTGGGGAGGCAGACGGAGCAGCCAGAGGAGGAGGAGGAGGAGGGGGATGAGTAGGAGTATGAAGGCTGGAACGAGGGCGAGGGCGACGGGGAGGAGGAGAGGAGGAGGAGGAGGAGGAGGAGGAGGAGGAGGAGGAGGAGGAGGAGGAGGAGGAGGAGAGGAGGAGGAGGAGGAGGAGGTAAGAGAGAGGAGGAGGAGGAGGAGGAGGAGAGGAGAGGAGGAGGAGGAGGAGGAGGAGGAGGAGGAGGGGGAGGAGGAGGAGGAGGAGGAGAGGGAGGATGAGGAGGAGGAGGAGGAGGAGGAGGAGGATTTTGTTGACAACAAGAGAAAGCCGAGGATGGCGAGGATGTGGAGGAAGATGATGAGCAGGGTGCAGGCGGAACATCTCCAGAAGGACTTTGACGAGGACGTCGAAGATGAGGGGCAGGAGGGTGGGGACCAGGACTGAGCCAGGACAGTGAGGAGGACAACGATGTCGAGGAGTAGGAAGATCAGGACGAGGAGAACTGGCAGGAGTACCGGTAGATCGGTGGGATGAACTTGGCGAAGGGGCGGGGGCAGCCAGGGGTGCGTCTGCCTCGATCTCCTCTTCCTCCACCTTTTCCTCGACCATTGTCGTCTCCGACGCCGCTTTCGTCATTCCTGACCTCCACCCCCTGTTGGCAGTGACTTTCCTCCTCGACCTCATCATCATCGGCCTCATCCTCCACCTCCCTCTCGACGCTCGACTCCCCTCGACCTCGACCTCGACCTCGACCTCGACCTCGACCTCGACCTCGACCTCGACCTCGACCTCGACCTCGACCTCCTCTTCCTCTTCCTCCTCTTCCTCCTCTTCCTCCTCCTCTTCCTCCTCCTCCTCCTCCTCCTCCTCCCCCTCCTCCTTCCGTACATTTTCTTCCTTGGCATGTTCTCCTCGTCCTCCCCTCGACCTCTTCCTCCTCCTCCTCCTCTTCATCTGCCGCCGCCTCCGCTTCGCCTTCCTGTACGCCCCCCCCTGGGCGTGAGTTTCGGCCAGGAGCCTGCGAGCCCGCGGCACGAAAGTTCCGAGCGAGCGCATTTTGTGGACGTCTGTCTTGGGAGAGTCCCACGACGCGTGCGCCAGCTAGGGGGCCGTTCGATCCGCCCCCCAAAACTCTTCAAGCTCTTGAGGACAAGTGGGGTATTTCCCCCTCACCCCACACTCTGATTCAACGGCCCGCCTTTTTTCGCCGCCAGCAAAGACAGAACTCCAGACGAACTCCCGATCTAAAGGGTTCCCGAATTCATCCAGCCACTCCGAATGTCCAAGCTCATCACATCTCAAGCCGATTCCAAGACTATTCCAAGGTCAGTAGGGTTCACATACTCATCCGAAGCACTACCAAATACATACTCATCCCAAGTCGAACGGGTTTCAATACGATTCCTAGATCTACGGGATCCCCATGATCCATGATGCTAAATTCTCGATCAAGCTGATTCGCATAGTAATCCCCGCTTACCTGCGCGGGCGCTAGTGTCTGGTCGCGGAGGGGCATTTGGGGGGAAGGGGATCCATCAAAAGACGACCAAGGGTGAAGGCCGACCTCAAGGGAAGAGTCGAGAGTTCAGAGCACCGCACATTCGCAGCATTACGACGTTGTGTGTCTGGGCTCCACGACCCCTCGACCCCGTTCCACGGGGGTACTTTCGCAAGATCCGTTTTCGGAGGCCCCAGGGATCGAAAACTATCCTCAAAGGCACGAGTTGCCGAACAAAATCAGGAAGATCGAGTGCTGACGAACATCTACGAACGTCGACATAGCCCCCCCCCCCCAGGGACATTTTAGATCGGAGATCGATCAGCCTTGAACGGTTCACGTGCTGTCGACGGCTGTGGCCCGCCGCGTCCCCCTGGAAGCGTGGCAGGCACGACTGGGGCGGCTTTGGCGAGAGCTGGAAACCCAGACCTCCCCCAGACACCCTCTCGTCGTGAAGGCCTCTGGGGGCCGAACTCAGCGTCAAGAGTGTTAAAACACGGCTCATGATGGAAGGCCAGTGTTAGGGAAGATCTCTAGATCTTTGGGGGCCGATGTTGTGAAAAAATCGTGACGTCGGATGTCGGAGCCTGGTGGCGCAAGAACATGCAATTGGTGTGCTTGGTTGCGTTCCCTGCCTCTTTTCGTAGACATGTAGGTTCAAATCAACTGATTTTCAGCGGGTGGTTGGCTTCAGTACAGGCTGCCAGATGTGTTGCTGATGTATTTCTGGTGTTGGACCGTGTCTATTGAGCCGTCAGGCGACGGACGATTCAGGCGACGAACGAGGCGCGTTCTGCGCAGATTCTCAACGGCCGTCAGTTGCTGACGATCTTTCTCATGGCTGCGCTTCTGCCGGCATGCGTGGAAGGCCGCTGATTCTTGCTGCTGTGGCTATGGGCCTTATTCCCACGCTCATGCACCCACCCTGGGCACAGACCCTCGCCCTGAAGGCTGAAGAGTCACCGTGGGCAGAGAGACTCGCTTTCAAAGCTGAGGAGGCACCCACTCCGACCCAGAACCAGTACTGTCAGGCTGCGGCCTCCGTCGCACGAGTGGACTCAGATTTCATCGACGAGGACATGTTCAAGGATGTTGGCGAGGGGGCGTGCATCAACTTTACGGGGCAGCCACTGGCCGAAGGAAGCGAGCTGTAAAACGCAAAGCGTGACCACCGCGAAGTCGAGGTGTTTCCGCACGGTTCCAGCCCGATGTGCGAGAGTCTCTGCCGCTTCCGTAACGAGTCCTGCACGGGCTTCTCCACGACCAATCCAGGGGGGTGCGTCCTCACTCTCGGCGGTCGTAGCCCCAGTGCTGGAGACGGCTCGGGTGGCAGCCGCTGCTTCTGGCGACGTCGTTTGTTGAGGAAAAGCGCCACTCCGCACGCGGAACCGATCCCAAAGATCATCTGGTCCTTTTGGCAAACTTTTCCTCGTCACGAAGTGCACGCGGCGTTTGCTGAGATTTGCGCCGATTCTTGGTGGAAGCTGAATCCCACCTACGAAGTTCGTGTTCTTGATCATGATTCTCTGTGGCGATGGCTAGCGCGGAAGGATCTGCCAATACAGTTTGACAAGCTCATCATTCAGCACCAGTCTGACGCTATTCGCCTTGCTCTCATCTCCCTATATGGCGGCATCTGGCTTGATGCATCTGTTTTGCTAGTATAGCCAATCGACCACATCATTGGTTCAGATCCCTCTGTCAGTATTTTTCCACACATTATGGTACAAGTACGATGCATTGCCATGGCCATGGGAGAGGCGGGTGGACAGGGACTCGCTGGTTGAAAATTGGTACTTTGCCACGCCTCCTGGTAAGCTGTTATTCCTGCGTACATTGTCTCGGGTAATGTACATATACGTTCATTACGACGATAAGGGCTTGTTGTGCAACACAGGCCGCTTTTCCAAGCGACAGTTGGACATATTTGATTTCGAGTCTACCTGTTCTTGTCAGAAACCAGAATATTTGTTCACCCATGCTTGCATTATGGCGGCCATCGATGAAGACATCTCTTTGACGCGTTGGTGGCACAGCGACCGGGTGCGTCATGATAGCCCATTGTCTTCACGCGCTGGCTACCCACGAGCTACAGTTCGACGCGCGGCGAGAGAACGTGGAGGCCGCACGCAGGCTCTTTGTCGAGCACGATGTTCAATATGCCAGGACGTTGTTGAAGGTCTCTTTAGGGTTTGTGAAGTTCACTGCGCGATTGCGGAATATTGCTTGGACAACCTCACACAGAAGCAGTTGCGGTGCGGAAGCAGCACGCTCAATATTATTCTGGCTGCTGTAAGGGTGTGGAATGACACCTGTTTTTAGCCAGCCGTGGTGTCACCATGCATTTGCCGACAATTCCTTTGGGATGTATTTTTTGCTGGGTGCAGCCTCTATTTTCGCGCGACCCAGAATAGGGCGGCGTATTGCTTCTTGACTTATGATGCTGTGGTCGTCCCCTCCGCGCCCCTGCGGTGCGAACCAGAACGCGGCGCCGCGACCCAGGCCGCGACCCACTCGCCCAAGCCCGTCCCATCACTCTTATCCGCAACTGCGGGGGGCTACGTATAATCTGCGCATTCGCGTCTTGGCTTTCCACGACGTCCACGACGGCCTGCGGGGCGCTCCAGGGGGCCCCGTAGGATAGTCCACGAAAACGCCAAGACGACCCAGGAGGACACCGAGAGGGCCTCGAGACGGCCCGACCGGCCCCCTGAGAGAGGGCCCACTGCTTCCAGCAGGCTCAGTGGAAGGATCCACGGGCGACGCCGCCACCCAGCTCGGGGCGCCTCCCGAAACGCCCCCATCAGGCCCAATCGAAAGACATCAGGCTCGCCGCTTGGGCCCCGCCGCCAACCCAAACGGCAAGCATAAATCGGGCGTAGCCTCGCACGCATGTGGATGTCCAGCCAGTCTGGGCGGCGTCGGTGTGCTCGTCGTATCCTGGAGACTAATGGGGGCCTCCCCAGATAGGCCTCGAGGAGATCTGGGGGCGACCTCTGGGAGGCCTCCCCCCAGGCTGGGAGGATGTGGGTTATGCCGCGCTTGCCAGTGAAATTCTTAGGTCCGAAATTCGGATTTCTAGGGCTGGCTGCGTAACCGGCGCCGTCAGTCTAGACAAAAAACTCTGACCCAGGAAACAGCTGTGGGCTGAGGCGAAGCTGCAGCCCTGCGCCACAGAAGAGTATGCAGCGCTCCTTCCCCCTGAGGCGGGGTGCCTGACGCGCGTGCAGGACCG